CCCCCCCCCCCCCCCCCCCCCCAAGGTCGTAGCTGGCTATGCCGTGTTCCAGCTTTCAGTAGCTGTCTCCCCTCCCCACTCCTAGCCAGTTGCCTCTCGTGCTAGGGCCCAGCTAGGTGTCTTTCTTCTGGGCTTCGCTAGTCGGGCTCGCGACAGTGGACGGATGGATAGCTGACTAGCTGCTTGCCTCTTATGGGGCGGAAGGGCTACAGTGAGCGGCAAACGGCTGTTAAACGCCGTACAGGTACAGGCAGCAGCAGGAAGAAAAAAACGACTGGCGAGGGCAAACAGCAAAACAAGCCCCAAGAAGCTATACACAAGATGCATGCATGCGTGCATACATGCAGCCCCAGCCTGCCGCATAGAAAACGAAAGAGAGACCAACAGCAACAGCGGACGCAGGAAGGCCAATGTCCCTACCTTCTCCAAAAACAGATGCGCGTCGCGCCGACAGTCGGCCACCAAACGCTCCAAAACTGGAGCTTCCTCTGAGAAGCACCGGCAGTAGCATCAACAGCAACGGCGGCAGCAGCAGCAAATGTCTTCTGCACATCTCACGTAGTGGCCACCACAGCTGAAAGAGAAGCACGTGCAGCCGCAACAGCTGCAGCAGCACTATTCAGAGCGCCACAGAGCAGCACCAGCAGAAGAGGCAACAGCAACTGTCCAATCGTGCAGTAGATACAGCAGCAGCAGCAGCAGCAGTAGCACCGGCAGCAGTAGAATTAGCAATGGCAGACAGGGATACCTCCTGTATGCCGATTTACAGTCTCCAAAGAGCAGCGCAAACGGCTACATGCCTCCTGGCACTCCAACTCGATCTCATGAACATGGCGGTCCATAGCCACCTGCTTCTTCTGTTGTTGCTGCTGCTGCTTCTGTACGGGATGTTGAAGCCTCCTGTTGCCTTCGTTGGCGGCGCTTCTGCTGAGTGCGCCGCAGTTAGGGTCCTCCTGCTGCTACTGCTGCCTTTCTTACCGATGTGGCTTTTACAGAACAGCTGCTGATCTTGCGGCGTTGGTTGCTTCGGGTGGAACCCCCGGCTGTTGCTGCTGCGTTCCTCGCTAGCTGCTCTGCTGCTGTTGTGGCGTCGAGGAGGCGCAGCAGCCGTCCCGGAGGCACGAGGTGTTGTAGATATCGAAGCTGCTGCTCCATCCAATTCTTCCGCCCTTCTAGAAGCGTACTGCTGCTGCTGGCAAGCTAGGTGATGATGTGAAGATGAATGCAGACGCTGCTGCCGCCCATCCTGCTGCTGCTGTTGCTTGTTGCTGCCCCTGCAGGACCGACTACTGTGTTTTGCGGCCCCTTGAGGGCCCCATAAAAAAAGGCCCTCCTGCAAGGAATTACTATCCAGCAGACGCAGCAGCAGTAACTACAGCTTCAGTCGCCGCAATTGAAGGCGCAAGGCTTCGATGGCAACTGCCGAACAAACTGCAACAGCAACTCGCTGCCTGTGTGTGTAACAGAGGGCAAACCTAATTTCGAGAGTCAAACGAGCAGATTTAGGCTCCTCCACGGTAGACACTGTCATGGAAGACGGCCCCTTGCTGCTGCTCTTGCTGCTGCTGGTGCATGCCACACTAAGTTGCTCAATCGGAGTGAAGGTGGGTGGGCACCGCTGCCGCTGCAGCTGCTCTCCGTGCATCCCATCCCTGTCAGATGAAAATGAACTATTTAAAATGCCGCAGACACAGAATTAAGAAAATAAAAGGGAAGTCTAGCTGTGCCACAGCAGCTGGCGCTGTCTCTGAATGCCCTGCAGCCGACACCATACGATCCGCAGCACTAGCACCACCAACCGCAGCAGTGGCGGGGGGATTAGAGCAATAGTTCATGCTTAATCCTACCTCTTCAGTTTTGCATCCAAGACACTGACGCCGCGTTAGCATCAGCAAGACTTTGGGCTGTAGCCGCAGCAGCAGCACCAGCGGCAGGAGCGGAGTCGATGAGACACAGCTGTCGGCGCGGCAGCGGTGGAAGTCCTTCAAAACCCTACTTCAAAGCTGAGCTTATACGTGTTAACATCAGAGGCATCGGAGCAGTAGAGCTGGTTGTGTCTGCCGTTTCAGACCCGGATCTGCCCCAGCAGGCCCATCACTTGCTGCTGCTGTCGAAAGGGGCTCCTCATGGTAGGGCTGCTACGTTCCCGAGGTAGCTATGGTTTTTCGTCGGGTGCTGCTGCAGCTGGAACCCCCAAATCCGGCTGCTGTGCGGCAACATACACAGCAGACGGCTGTCGGCTGCGTAGGGTTGTGCTAGAGGAGCTGCAGCGTCAGAAGCTGCTGCAGCGCAGGCCACCAATACACGACCTCCTCTTTCTGCAGAGTCTCGAGAGAGGGACCAGCTGGCGGTCGGCTGCTGTTGAGGCTGTCGAGCGAGCTCACCGCTGGGTGAGAAACCGGCTGGGGACACTCCTCACAGAACGGTCGCAACAGAAGCAGCATCCCTTGCATCAGCAGTTCGTCGACCTGTTAATGAGTCTGGGGCTCCTTACCAGCAGCAGCTCCAGCAATAGCAGCAACGGCAGCAGCTTCTGGCAGGTGTTGTGGACAGGCTTTGTTGCGGCTGCTGCTGCCCTAACAGCAGCAATGGCGGCATCTCCTACGCTGGCCGCGGGTGGGAACTTGGCTGGAGGAGGAACTACCGCAGTAGCAGCCCCGCGAAATACCTTCAACAGTTGGATTGCCTCGAGTTTGCTGCAGTGCAGCGGCAGCGCCCTGTCATTTTGGGGTGTATGTACGGCTGGGACACGCATGCAGCAGGCACTCGGGATATCGTGTTCATCCTTTCTCTCCAAGCCTATGGGCTTGCTCACAATAGCCGTGGCGTCCAATGCTGCTGCTGCTGCGGCGGCGGCTGCAGGTTTTGCGTGCAACAGGTTGCAGCAGCTGCACGCCGGTAGCAGCGGCGGCCCTTGCGGTTGGCTCGAAGCAGCGAAGACGCTGCAGCAGGAAACTCGCGGGAACTGGGGGGGAGTGCTGCTACAGCACCATCCCCGAGCCCCTTCCTTGGCTCTCCCTCGCAGCAGCAACAGCAGCAGCATCAGCACTCGGCAGAGCTTGCTGCGGCTATGTGCGGGGGAGACCGTTGGTTGTTTGCTGGTGTACTACATGTTGGGGGGGCGCTTGTTTCGGCTCTCTCCTTCGAGTTTGGTGGCTCCTGGGGCATTCAGCGAACGGAGTTTGTCCCTCTCAGCCTCTACTGTGTACGCGTCAGACACAGAGCGGCGCCTGATAAAGAAGGTGGGGCTGCGCTTTGGGTGCCACACCTGCGGGATCCGATCCCGCAGCACACGCTGGATCGCAGACCATCAGCCCCCCACAGCCCAAGTCCTCAACTATGAACGCACAGCACTGGGCAGGGTGCTGGGAGTGCTTCGCAGGCTGCTGGGGGGCTCCAAGTACTGGCCGCAGCGCCTTTACCCCCACTGCGAAAGCTGCAGCCTCAAGCAAGCAGTCGCAGTACGACGGCAAACGGCTGCTGCTGCTGCTACTTCTGTCGCTGCCGTCACCCCACTCACAGCAGCTGCTGCGGCAGCCAGGCTGCGAGAGAAGAAAAACCTCCTTCAGCAGCAGCATCTTGTCTACAGGTGGAAGAGCCTCAGGTTGTGGCATTTTACTGGAGGCATCCTCACTCTGATTCGCTGCCTCAATGCCCTATAGCTCAACACTTCTTGCCCAGTGTTTCTTTCTTCTGCCTCCCCCCTTGCGGCTGCAACAGCAGGTGCAGCAACAGCTGCATCAGCAGTTGCAGCAGTTTCTGTAGGAAACTCCTGCAGGGTTTATGAGACACTCTAAGGGTGCTTGGGCCAGGGCATTTCTGAAGCTTCGCCTCAACGAGCAGTTACTGCAGCTTGTGGTGCCTGCACTGGGATTCTTCTGCACCCGAATGCTGGCAGTTGGCTTTGTAATCAACCAGAAGCCCTTTGAAAGCAAATACTGGCTGCGCTACGAGGGACGCTTAATGTCGGCAGGGAGGCGTTCATCGGATTCAAAACTGCAACGCGAACCAACGGCGATGCCTACTGAAAGGCAGTCATTCACAGCAGCTCCCCGCCGCCATGGCGCCAGGTCCCACGTACGATCTACAGTGCTTATCCGCACAACAGGAGTTGTAGCGGTGTGGTTGGGTGTGACGTCAGTAGTATGACATCCGAATATGCCTTGTCTATTGATTTCAACGGGAGCCTTCTGGGCTGCATAGTGCAGACGATCTCAAGGCAAACTGGAGTGCAAACGCGTCGACAAGAAGACGCTGGTAACTCCTTCCTGTTCTTTTAGCCCCAGGAACGTCCAAGCCACAGAGCCCCTATCTGATCTTATACACGCGCCGTATTAGCCGTTTTAGACACCAAGACGACCCTCAAGGGTCTGACAGCAGGCCACAGAAATGCCTGATGGCTCTAACCGTCCTTTAGGCGGACCTTCGGCGCTCTCCTAGGTGTTCTTTGCCTCAGAGCAGGCCTCATAGGACCATTTGGGTCGGTCGGGAGTGCTTCAGTAAGTTCAAGCCGACTGCCGCACCATCTGTGCGCGCTCACACTCAGCATCGACGGGGATGCAGGTCTTCAGTAGTAGTGCCTACACAATGATGGCAATTACTGTCTTTTCAAATAATTTCCTTGGGGCTGCTGAAGTGAAGAAGTGGAGCTCGAAAGGGGGGAATCGTCGTTCTCGCGCCGCTTCTCTCGTACAGCGCCTCTGTATGGCTGGATGAAATATTTTCGTGTCTGCATAACGAACACACGCCCCTGTCGTTCTTGATAAACGAGAACATCTTTGGCGGTTGATTTGGCCGTAGTTCGTCTTTATGTAGGAATATTACATAGCATAGCTCAAACAAGTGAATTCAAACAATTGAGTGGAATGCCGGGAACGGTGAGCCCGATGCAGTTGCGCGAGCTCACTGTGCGCGTAAAGCCCTTCAGAAGGGATTCCATAACCCTCGGAGGCGAATGCCGCTGGGCAGCCGGGCAGTTGACCCTTTAGTGGGATGCAAAGATGATTGAGTCTGAACGGAGAGAGGCGTGAAAAGTGCTATGGAGATTTCTGTGCCGGAGAAGTGGAACAAGCGATGTGCAACGTTATAGTTTCACTCCCTGCCCTTGGCAGCGAGAGAAATATTCATGTAGGAGCAATAGAGGAGAGCTGTCGAATATTTCCCTTGGCATACCCACGGCTCGTAGGACATTCCGACGTACGATATTTTGTTTCTTTTCACCGGCTGACTCAATTGTATGGGGCCCAGCAGGTGCAGTCAGTTCTGTGAAATGCTTTTAGTGCACATGCCTTATCTCCTCCACAATCAAATGTCTTTCGTTGTAAGGACTAGGGGTTGTGAAGTGAACTAACTGCGTCTTTGGCGCTGCCATTCGGCACGACTCTCGGAGCCTTTTGCGCCAACCCTGGGAGGCGTCAAACATGAACAACAAAGAAGATCGCAGTCAAATGCAGATGAAGCGACCGACCTGAACCGCAACTGTAGCCGTCCTTGCATTAGTAGGGCAACGAGGGACCGTAGCAGTGAAGTGGTGATGTGCACGGGATCCTTGGTGCAGAGTGGTGGAAACTGATGCAGCTAGGAAAAGCTCCTCCTCCGTAGAAACACGCATATAGAGCCGACTACGGGGCTCGAACCCGCGACCACCAGCTTAAAAGGCTGGCGCTCTACCGACTGAGCTAAATCGGCTATGCACCAGCGAAAGCTACACTCGCATGATCCAATTGTGTGAGCAACTTAGCTCGGAAAATACGGGCGACTAGAATGCATCGCAACCATAGGAGTAGGTGATATAATCAGTTACATTGTCTTAGAGTGTTGCCGCTGAATAGCTGACCTAACGCAGCCGATTTAGCTCAGTCGGTAGAGCGCCAGCCTTTTAAGCTGGTGGTCGCGGGTTCGAGCCCCGTAGTCGGCTTTATTACTGTTGATTTTCCAATAGGAGTAGTATTTCAGTTGTTGAATGTCTTTTTTCGTGAACGGGCCTACAGCAGCAGCTGTCCCTCCCCTAACAAGGGCCCATGACAAGATACCCCCTTCCTGTAAGTGATCAATGACAAGAAGACGCTCTCAAAAACGTGTGTTACCAAGAGCCACCACGTATAGACAGAAGGAGGAGAGGCAGAAGCAGAAGTGCTTCTGCTGTGACACCAGGTCTTCCTCAGACGGGCTAGAATTAATCACTTGCTGCAGCACGAGTGGTTTGCTTCTCACGCTACAGCACTGAAAGAAAATCACCAGCTCCCAGCGAACCATGCATCTACTCCGGCAGGCGAACCTGCTCCAGCAGCAAAGGAAGGAATATCTGAAGCGGCTGGCACCGTCTCTCTATCGATGGCTTGCCATCGATATATCAAAGCCTGCTCCTGCAGATCGGCAAAGATGTTTCATCACTCAAGCCGCAGGTAAGGACGGTGCATGCAGCAGCAGCAGCAGCATAGCGTCAATATGAGAAGCACCATTGGAGTAGCAAGGTCTTCGATGTTATCTTTTACAAGGACTACTGTTAACTGAAGTAGAGCCAAATATTTTAGGGCTCAGCAAAAGCAGCTGACCCTCGTCCCTCTCATCCAGACGTGCCGGGGGCGCAGCCGACCGAGCGCCCAATTTTGTGGGAGAAGAAACTTGAGATGAGCTGCAACGCATCGTGCTACACCTACTGATGGATAACAGGCCATCGGGTAGTACAAGTAAGCCTCATTGGCGGTAAGCGCTGGCACTGTAGAGGCGTGCCAAGCATTTCTGACTGCGACTGCCTGCCGGCTGACTTAGAATTTACACCCCAGCTTCAGGCACGCTGGCCAACATCGAACGGACTAAGCTTCTGGCGGCACTTAAAAATGCAGTTGCTCTTACTGCAGCAGCAAGTCCAGCATCAGAAGCGGGTGTGCGTGGGAAAAGACCGAGAACTACTGCAGCAACGGTGCCTGTTGAGAGGGAGTAGGAAGTGTCAAACAAAGACGTACTGGTAGCAACAACAAGCAGATCGTGCTTGTTATCTGCGTGGTAACACCAACAACAGCATCATCCTATGCAGAAGGTGCAGCAGCGAGTTGTGCCGAAGGCCTTGGAGGCCGAAGGCTACCGGAGGGAGCTGCTGTGCTACAAGTTAGTACAAGCATGCTACTTCGAGCTGGTGCAGCAGCAAACTCACGTAACACAACAGGGAAATGCCAACCCCTCGCCATGCTCGGTAGAGAGCCAGCCTTTTAAGCAGGTGGTCGTGGGTTCGAGCCCTGGAGTCACCTCTCTCCGCAGTCGTACTCTGTTGTTACCTTTCCACGCCGACCACCCCAGAAGCACTAATTTTCAGTAGTCTACCTACAAGTTGCCTTCCCTGTGACGCGATATATATATATATATATAATAT